CCCTCCCCTTCTGTGCCCAGGTCTCAACTGATTATGCAGGCTGAGGCAGAAGCTGAATCTGTGAGGGTGAGTTAAGAGGGGGCTCTTGCTGGCTTGTGGAGGGAGTAGGGGTTGCTGTATCAGCTGGGGTTCCTTATCCTTAACTACAGCCATCAGTACCACAACTTTCCTGTACCCTTCTCAGATGCGTGGGGAGGCTGAGGCCTTTGCCATAGGGGCTCGAGCCCGGGCCGAGGCTGAGCAGATGGCCAAGAAAGCGGAAGCATTCCAGCTGTACCAGGAGGCTGCTCAGCTGGACATGCTGCTGGAGAAGCTGCCCCAGGTCTGGAGGTTGTGTGGGCACCAGGAGAAGAACAGAACCAGGGAATGTAGGGTGGGCGGAAATGAGGGGCAAGAGCTTGGGGAGAACCAGGCTAGGGGACCATAAATTAGGGGTGGGAATTATAAGCCAGCAACCAAAGTGAGGAAGGATGATCTTTACAAAGTGAAGCAGATCAAGGATCTTGAAGCCCAGGGTAAGGCGTTTTAGGAAGGAATGTGGTCAGACCACAGGTGCTGAGTGGGCATCTCTCACCTACCAGGTAGCAGAGGAGATCAGTGGTCCCTTGACCTCTGCCAAAAAGATCACACTGGTGTCCAGTGGAGGCGGGGCCATGGGGGCGGCCAAAGTGACGGGGGAAGTACTGGACATACTGAGCCACTTGCCAGAGAGCGTGGAAAGACTCACAGGCATCAGCATCTCCCAGGTGAGGGTCTGTAGGGTGGGAGCTGTGGAACAGAATTTCTGGGTTCCTGGGGCATGTGATGCAGCGGGCCTAGTAGTGGGACCAGCACTAAGGAGGCTTAGGGACCATTGACATTTTTGTTTTCTATGTGCCAGACACACTGCTAAGCTTCTACACATATGGTTTGTTTTTTAAAATCAAAATATCCTTTGGGTAAGTAGTATTTTACAAAGTAAAGAAACAACTTCCAATGTGTTAAGGAACTTAGCCCCTATCATACGGCTGGTGAAGCTAGGCTTCAAACCCAGGCTGACCATCCTCTAGAGCCTTGTGGCCCCACTAGCACAAGAAACTAGTTGCAGCCTGTTGACAATTAATTCCAAGGCATATTACTGCTTTTCTTGGTGTCTGTTTATTCACCTATAGATTATGGTAGAGGTCAGAAAGCAGGCCCTGGAACCAGACTTTCCTGGTGTGAATCCTGGCTTCAGTGCCTGCTAGCTGTGATCTTAGACAAGTTCTCTACTTCCCTGTACCTCTTTCCTCACCTTAAAATCATGTTAATAATACTATTTACTATGTTGAATTGCTGAGGGGATTTTATATA